GGTTGTATTTATCAATCCTTAGGCTGTCATTGGAGATTTCACTTGTGCACCAGGCTTCGGTGATCATAATCAATGACGGTCTGCATATAGAAGCTATTGTACTTAGTGCTAAATGTTTGCTTAGAACTGATCTCGTATTTACTAGGATAATAGATAAACACTGGCTATGTGGTTTCAGTGAGCGGACAACATCTTGGTAAAATAATCCGTGAGTATCCTCTATATACATGTTATCAGACTCATTTACCAATATCTTTGGATCGTAGGAAGACTTCAGGTAGATTTTTGAGGTGGTAGTCAGGGATGGGCTTACGTTTGGATATGGTATGCAGTGAGAGACACCTGTGTGATAATCAGATATTAATATTTTAGAGATATTAGTATCCGCGTTTGGTGTCGACACTGTGTCAGCTATCTCCCGGGAAATATGCCTTGCCCTAGCTGTAGACTGTTCGCTATGCCAGCAAGGAATTGATCCGATATCATGCGTGCTATATGCATGATTCCAGGTGTTTCTGTTAACTGACGCTGGTGAAAATCCTGCCCTAAGGTATAACCGATATGTGTATTCGGTAATTTGTTGCCAGTATAAGAATGAAGTGTTGGTATCTGTTTCTGGTATTCATCAGACCATGGCAAGTTTTGTGCAGAAATCGGCACATGCTCCCCACTAGACACATAAGATATATGAATGGGTTCTGTTGGCTTGCTAAATGTGGTCTGTGGCCGATGTTTGGGGTATTTTCTATAACTTTCAGTAGACAGAATATTAGAAGTGGGCTGGTTGACAAGGGGTTTACGTAGTGGATGTGCAGAACAATACCTACTACTTTGCTGTGCTGTTTGTCTAGAATTAGGGATTCGATAAAATTGGCTTTCCACTTGGCACCAATTAGGCCTACCCCTAGGAGCTTCGTCTACCATATTTGACTTTCTCTTACAAAGAAGGCCTACAGGTGCTTTCGTCTCTTTCTTATCAAAGAGCTTTCTTGCTCCGGGTTTAGTATTTAATTTATTTACTTCTTTTTCCCCTATCTTATGATTATCTGGCTGATGATGGCTAACAGGGCAGTCAGCACATGCTATGTAGGGTTTCTGTGGCTTGAACACCTCATGAGCTTTAGTTTTCTTAATGGAAATGGGACGTTTGTCATAACGCCTAGAAAACTTGCCAACTTGGGTGGCTACATTCGACTGGTGCTGATCTTCAGATTATTTAAATCACTAGAAATTTGAAAGTGCCAGACACAGAACGGTATCATCTTGGCCACAGCATTCATCACTGAGTACTGGATGCTGACCCTCATTGTTTAAGTCAGCTTGTTTAGTTGAAGGCTTCCGGTCATGCATCCACGCCATTTGGTACGATGTAGTGATACTTTCATTCGTTCGTGCACGATCCCTATCTAGTTAAGCAATCATCTCGCACTCTGATTTGGTCCTCAAATATAACTCATAATTTGGACGATCAATTCAGATGTTTTGCTTTGCCTTTGGTCTACACGAAACGAATATTATAGAAGTTGTGGGTGTTAGACCTTGCGTTAGTATACTCCGAACAATCCGTGAACATCAATACCTTTGTGGAGTCCTCAAAGACAAACTTATCCAATTTTTACTACTATGTAAGAAAGGAACATATTGTACATTACTTTGTTTTAACCATAAACTCTGTACTTTGAACTTTACCTCCGGTTTTGAATAAATATATGGTTCTGCCTCCGACTCCCCGTTTTCTCCACCAGCCCAACTGCCATCGATCAATTCCAACCCCCTGCTTTCTATCTCAAATTTTCGCAGGAACACCGTAGTTTCTTTCTACGTACTTTGGTCGACCTCTGGCAACGTCAGCATTGGAGAATTAGTATTGGAGCAGTCTTCCCGCAGTATCTCTGGAGTCTATTACGTTTATTGTGGATTTTAGATCTCTGTAAACCCAAGTAACGAGACTTTAGTATATTCTTCCCGTAACTAAACTGACTTGGTATTTTATTTTCTATTTGAATTTGGGATACTACGCTAAGAGAGTAAAAGGTCCACCACACCTTCAGCCCAACCGTGAACTTCATTTTTGGTAAATACACAGACAATTCCGGTGAGTTCATTCCATTTTGTATTCGCTCTTGTACTATTTTCAATCTATATATATTTCGCCGTGAGTGATCATACTCCTAAAGTCATCCACATTTGATCAGTTACCAAAACTATTCAGCTTGTACCATTTTGGCCAGATAATGCAGGATCATGGTTTCAGATACCTGAGTCTGATTTCATCGAACATGGGTTAACTGATCAACGCTCACAGTCCCTTGCAGTTGTCCACGCCATACCGCGGGAATGGAGAAAAAGCGTAACTCTGCATAAGTCGAGCACAGAGGTAAGTAACGCTTATGAGTTGCTTAAAGCAGCCCTCCTAAGGAGAAAAGAACTCATGGATCGACAGCGTTTTGACGAACCATTTCGCAACCTGGAGTCAGGTAATCATTCAGCTGTGAGCATGCTCACGAGAATGAGGGAAGTTATCGGTCAACGTCAGTTCGATGAGGGGCTTTTCAGAGAACTGTTCTTAACCAAACTGCCATAGTCAGTACAGGCTGTGTTGGTGACTGTAGTAATTTATTGTAGTCGTAGTATTAGTATTTCGAGATGACCGAATTACAAGAATTCAAACAAAACACAGAGAGGGCGGAATTCAGGAATTTGTATTTAGCGGAATTATTATGCAATTCATATATGAAACATATTAACAATCAACAGTAAGTACTTAAACAATACAGAGATAGAAATTGTCAATCAGCACAGTGACACTTCAAGGTTTTATTACAGATATCTTAGCTACCTCCGTCTATAAAATTCTAGAAATAACAAAATGACCAGTCACTGCAATATGCTCAATTGCTGAACAGACTGAGTGCAGGAATACTGCCGTTGTAGAGTTATGCAACCCTGTCCAGGAGCCGCTTAGGTCAAATAATCCCTATAATTCCTCCTATAGTCGTCCGAACTCCCCTCAATGGCGAAACCCACTTAGTCTGTCTAAATACAAGCCACGTTCACTAAAAAACCCTGATTGCTGCTGGTACCACAATACCTATGACTGGGAAGCGAAATGTTACCGAGAACCTTTCAAATTTTGGCAATGTCTCAAAGTCGGTGGGAAACTATCTCACCGGCACGCGTTAGCGGCAACCGTCGCCGGTGGCACTAGCTGCCTACTTTACATTCATGATACAATCAGCCAGACTCGATATTTATTCGACCCAGACGCTGAAGTCAGCGTCCTCCCTGCTACAGCAGCAGATCGACAGAAGGAACCTACCTTCAACTTGTAGGCTGCGAATGGAAAGCCAATTTTAACCTTTGGTAGGAAATTCGTCTATCCGAACTTAGGTTTACGCAGGCCTATTCAGTGGATTTTCCTTCTCGCTGACGTCACAATGCCCATCATTGGCACGGACCTACTTAATCATCATGATTTACTCGTAGATGTCCGCCGAAAACGACTGATAGACAGTACTACTAGACTGTCTATCAAAGGCATCTCCTATGTAGCCGTATCTTGACACTCCAGCTTTCCAGCCGATTGTTGATAAGTACCCGGAATTCAGTTTCCCGCTTAACGATCTACCGTGCATAACCAGCAGTGTTATGCACTACATCATAACCTCAGGACAACCCGTGATGTCTAAAGCACGATGACTTCCTCCTGACAAGCTACGACTCGCTGGAAACGAGTTCGACCATATACTCACCCTTGGAATCATTCGGCCATCAAGTAGCTCATGGGAATCCCCACTGCGTATGGTGCCAAAACAAAGATAGCAACGATTGGCGACCCACTGGTGATTACCGGAGAATGAACGCCGAAACAACCCGTGATTGCTATCCATTGCCTCACATACACGACTTGACGGCAACATTACCTGGTGCAACCATATTCTCTAAAACCGACTTCATTAAAGAAAATAACCAAATCCCGATGGCAACAGAAGATATCCCGAAGGTGGTTATCATTACGCCTCTCGGACGTTTCCAATCTCTACGTATATCATTCGGTCTCCGGAATGCAGCACAAAAATTCCGACGATTGATTGACGGGGCATTTCGCGGTCTCAACTTTGTTTACGCACACTTGGACGACTACCTCATTGCCAGTCCAGACAAGGATATTCAGCTTAGACACTCAGATTCGGCATTGGAAAGGTCACGTCTACATGTTGTTATCGTTGATATTCAAAAGTATCAGATAGGCGTTGACTCACTCGACTTTCTGGGCCCCTCCAGTGACTGCAAGGGCATTCGCCCATGGGCTAGTAAAGATGAGGCGATGCTCAACTTTCCAGAGCCACGGACTGTGAAAAGTCTACGCAACTTTAACTGCTTGGTGAGTTATTACCGACGGTTTTTTCCCAACTGAGCTTCGCTGATTCAGCCAATTAACAGACCTTTTTCGAGGGAATGACAGGTTCATCGAACTCGATGCGTGTGCTCAAAATGATTTCACTCACTTTAAAAAAGCTATCGCCGATGCCACAATTCAGGGTCCAATCCCACTGTTAAGCATCCAGGCTGATGCACCAGATACTGCAGTCGGCGCAGTTCTGCAGCAAACAGTCAGCAGGTATTGGCAGCCACTCGCCTTTCTCTTGAGGCACCTTCAATTATCAGAAACGAAGTACAGCACATTCGGCAGAGAACTTCCAGCACTGTACTGTGCTATATGTCATTTTCCACATTCAGCGGAGGGTAGTGAATTCATGATTTTTACTTATCCCAAAACTCTGACGTACTGTCTGAACTCAACTTCAGATAAGTTGTCAGCCACGTCTCATAAACAGTTAATACCCAGCTCTTGCTACGCTCGGGCCTACGCTGTTCCTTGAAGTTGTAAGAAACGCTTAGTAATAACGGACGAAAAAACCAAACACCGATTGGCCGCTTGAGAATTCTTTATTGTTACACCAACATATAAAAATAATGTTTTTACTAGGGTCTGTGAACAAATATTACAATAATAAATCACAATATTACTTCTGACGGTTTGCTACTGACTTCTTTCTGAACAGCGACCGATGAGACGATGACTGTCGTATTGATGCCTCCGCGAAAATTGGGGAAGTTGGTTTTGAGCAAACAACCATGAATTGATCGTTCAATATTAAACTACATTGACACTCCCCGGCAAAAAAGGGATCCAACCACTTTTTCCTTCACGACCAATACACGTTGACTTGGATGCCATTGCGAGAACCTGGGATACACCGACAGAGCTGAAATGGAAAACAAACAGAAAAGCCAACACACCACAAGCATACCCACAGCACAATCTCACACATCAATGACGACCTGCGCATTCCAGTTAAAGGCATCCTCTTGCAACACAATCGCCACTTGCTAGAATGACTCTTGCAGAATGCAACGTGACCATAGCACCACCTCACGATACTCTACGCACATCCTCTTATCTACTCACTACTAATTACCACTGAAATCGCTTGTCACTCATTCTGCCTCAATTCGAGTAACGATGACTCTTACTCCCCGGTGTGTGGGACCGCAGCTAATAATTATCTCCGTATGCATTTCATTCTCAGCAATAGCCTAGCCTCCCCGGCGTATACGACCCATCTGCTGTCTCTAACATCAATCAATTCATTCACGGATGTAGAAGACAAGAAACAACTTCAGAAGTAATCACGACGAAAATTTTAACAAAATTATGCAATAAAAACAAGGTACAAAAACAACCAGTAAACACAATGAATCCAAAACACCACCAATTGATATGACACACCACACGTATATACAAACAGTACACACAAACTCGCAGTTCATGTCTTGATGGAATTCCTTTGAAGAATCACAGTACTTACACCAGTACACCTACAACCCTTCTCAGGTTGACGATTGTAAGTTGTGGAATATCCGGACACAAACAAGATTAACCAACAATTACATCAATTGGAACTCACAAAATTATCAAACACAAACATATGTACAATCAACACATCAAATGATGGGGATTCTGGCACGAAAAACTACCCTTGAAGAACTGTAGGACTTACAGCAGTACGCCTACAACCCTTCTCAGGTTGACGCTCTAGGTTGGAAAATCATCGCAGAGTTCATTTGCTGACTTCCTTCTATCAGCTATATCCTCAAATCTGAACGATAACACGCTCATGTCATTGTATCGTAGAACATAGATGACGAACAAACACACGAAGTATCTGGTCAACCAAGCGTAGGCACAGAGTAATTTACACCAAAGATGATAGCATTCAAATAGTAACTTGAAACTAGAAATTCCTTTATTCATGCAAGTCAATTTAACAATTACTCTTTCGTTTACACTTGGCTTATCCTCTCTAAACAGAGCAACATCTTTCGTCCTTTCGAATGCACCAATACTATCATAGTCATTGCACAAGATACTTGAGTTGATGGGCGACAGTTTCATTGTGGATGACAACACCAACGATGACCGATTGATACCAGTTGATGAAGTTAGCGGTGGATCAGAAGCTGTTGTTGCTCGACTTTCAGAAATTTGTCTACCTGCAAGACCACCACCACTGCTGTCTTTTACTATCAGCTCAGGTTTAACACTAGCATCTAATGATAGGTGGGCTACGCGCTGATCACTCACACTGACGGTCTGACAAGTATGCATGCCTTCTGCAACTGCATCTGCATTTATTTCCACTTCACGTTCAAGTTGTACAGAACTTTTGTTCAACTCAGCAGTAGTAGGCATATCTCTCATCTCATCATGATCAACCAAAGACAAATGTGAAGTATCATGATCATTATCCGGAATATTCAATTTATCATCATCTATCTGGTCGACTTCATCAATTTCAAACTCTTTAATAACAGAAGTAGACAATTTTGGTTCCTCCTCGCAAATCTTAAAAGGCTTTATAACTTCACTCTGACTAGTAATACCTTGTAAACTTGTGGAGTCAGAACTGGACTCTAAAGCAATAACTCTGTGCTGTGAAACTATATTCAACAATGGCTTACCAGTTGCAACTACAGACTTCTTGACCGCACCGTTATCGTCACACAATTCGGAGTCAGACGTTGATTTCACATTTAGCTTATCCCTGAACTTGCTCACTGGTTCACAGCTCACCTTTGTATGCACCTCTTGCAAACGTGTAAGACACAATCGTGTTTGTCTTGCATCATGCAACTTATCTGTTGACGATGTACTACGAAACCTGTTACACTCACTAGATCTATATGCATTACTAGATATCATGGAGTCTTCTCGATATCCACCTCTCTGAGGCCTATTCGTCATCAATGATTGCGTTTTACCCTCAGACTGCTCTATTCTATGGGTGAGATTCAATATACTGGCAAACTTGCTCATCGATTGATTGACACTAGTATTTACCAGTTTCAGAATATCATCAAACTTTGGCTCGATACCCTCATCCTCCATACGGGAGCTTATCTTCACCCACTTCCTTTGCAGTCGAGTAGGTAGGCGTCTTGCTATTACTTCTAGTATAAAACTCGAGTTGAGGTCATTCATGCGATTCATCGAAATCAAGGTATTCTTATAAGTCATAAGATTATCTAAAAACTCAGTAGGTGCCTTGGAGTCATCTTGAAGTTGACTGCCGTTACATTTGACAGCTTCGTATAAGTTCCTTACAATCATCGAAGGTCTTCCAAACCTTTGACGTAATATGCTCATAGCCTCGTAGTAGCCCTCTTTTGGATTCATAAACTTACAGCACTGTATAGCTCTTGCAGCACCTCCAGTGCAATATCTCATCAAATACATTAACTTCAATTCATCACTTAATAGAAAACTACTCAACATGGTCTCAAACTCCTTTACAAATTGTAAATAATCAGCCGGGTTTCCATCGAAACACCGTGGTTCAAATTTAGGGAGTTTTATGTTCCTATTACCCCTGAACGGCGAAACAGTAACATCAACCATATCATGCTTAACATCAGACACATCGTTACAAGTAACAGACAAGTCACCATGACTTACTTTCCTGTTTGCATCCAAGACGCTCTGTCCCTTCTTTGACCCAGGCATTGTTGAACTTGACCCAATTCCAAAAACGTTCCAGATATTGCTTGTTCAAAGAGGACTTCACCGGCACCAGAAAAGATGAACGGTGACTATCCAAACTGTCACCAGCGGTCCAAACCCGTCGAAAACTGACTTCTCCGTCAGAAACTGTCAGCCACGTCTCGTAAACCGTTAATGCCCAGCTCTTGCTACGCTCGGGCTCACGCTGTCGCTTGAAGTTTCTCAGAAACGCTAAGTAATAACGGACGAAAAAACCAAAACACCAATTGGCCGCTTGAGAATTCTTTATTGTTTCACCAACATATAAAAATAATGTTTTTACTAGGGTCTGTGAACAAATATTACAATAATAAATCATAAGATTACTTCTGACGGTTTTCTGCTGACTTCTTTCTGAACAGCGACCGATGAGACGATGACTGTCGTATTGATGCCTCCGCGAAAATTGGGGAAGTTGGTTTTGAGCAAACAACCATGAATTGATCGTTCAATCTTCAACTCCATTTACATAAGTATTCACCTAGAGAATCCCGACAATTGGACTATGTTTCACAGTTTAAATCGTATATTCGCCATGTATCCGTAGTGGATAACTGTGTGGCAGATGCCCTGTTGCGCATATGTTCCTTCACCCAAAAGGACGGCATAGACCTTGTGAAACCAGAAGATACTGAGCTTCAACATGAGTTGTCGAAAACAACGCTTCAGATAGCCGAGAAACCCCAAGGTGTGGGAAGGGACACTATTCTATGTGACATTTCAATGAACACTCCTCACCCCATCGTGCCTAAAAGCTATCGCCGTAAAGTCTTCAATATGTTGCATGGCTTATTCCACTCCGGTATTCGAACTACCGTCAAGCTCGTAGCTAGTCGGTTTTGTTGGCCTGGCATTAATAAAGAAGTAAGGGAATGGGCACACACGTGCTTAGCTTGTCAAAAGTGCAAGGTAGCAAGACACACCAAAAGCCCTCCTGGCACCTTTCTTATTCCTGATGGTCGTTCCGAACCCTTTCATGTAGATTTGGTTGGACCCCTTCCAGAATCTCATGGATACACCCACATCTTAGCCTGCATTGACCGTTTCACACGATGGCCTGAAGCAGTACCTCTCAAGGATATATCTGCTGAAACAGTCGCACGCGTCTCTGCCAAACGACGGATCACAACCTTTGGATGCCCATCCTCTATAACACCTGATCGTGGGCGGTAATTCGAAAGCGGCTTATTCTTCACCCTGACTAAAATCATAAGTCGGGAGCGTTTTAGAACAACAGATTACCATCTTCAAGCTAATGGTATGGCAGAACGTCTCTACCGACAGGCTGATTTATGAGCTGCAAGCAATACCCATTGGAAGGAATCCCTTCCTTTAGTTCTCCTTGGGATGCGAAACGCCATCAAAACCGATGCTGGTTGTGCTAACATCGAGCTACAATATGGCACAACACTACGTCTTCCAGGTAAATGTGTTTCTCCCTCTAGCTTATCACCAAAAGTAGATCACGCCCCATAAGTCAGCAGCCTTAAAAAGGCAATGTGTTCAGTTAAACCTGCTCCCCTTTGACTACGATCAATAGACATTGTCAATTTAGTTGAAGATTGAACGATCAATTCATGGTTGTTTGCTCAAAACCAACTTCCCCAATTTTCGCGGAGGCATCAATATGACAATCATCGTCTCATCGGTCGCTGTTCAGAAAGAAGTCAGCAGCAAACCATCAGAAGTAATATTGTGATTTATTATTGTAATATTTGTTCACAGACCCTAGTAAAAACATTATTTTTATATGTTGGTGTAACAATAAAGAATCCTCGAGCCACAAATTGGTGTTTTGGTTTTTTCGTCCGTTATTACTAAGCGTTTCTGAGAAACTTCAAGCGACAGCGTGAGCCCAAGCGTAGCAAGAGCTGGGCATTAACGGTTTACGAGACGTGGCTGACAGTTTCTGACGGAGAAGTCAGTTTTCGACGGGTTTGGACCGCTGGTGACAGTTTGGATAGTCACCGTTCATCTTTTCTGGTGCCGGTGAAGTCCTCTTTGAACAAGCAATATCTGGAACGTTTTTGGAATTGGGTCAAGTTCAACAATGCCTGGGTCAAAGAAGGGACAGAGCGTCTTGGATGCAAACAGGAAAGTAAGTCATGGTGACTTGTCTGTTACTTGTAACGATGTGTCTGATGTTAAGCATGATATGGTTGATGTTACTGTTTCGCCGTTCAGGGGTAATAGGAACATAAAACTCCCTAAATTTGAACCACGGTGTTTCGATGGAAACCCGGCTGATTATTTACAATTTGTAAAGGAGTTTGAGACCATGTTGAGTAGTTTTCTATTAAGTGATGAATTGAAGTTAATGTATTTGATGAGATATTGCACTGGAGGTGCTGCAAGAGCTATACAGTGCTGTAAGTTTATGAATCCAAAAGAGGGCTACTACGAGGCTATGAGCATATTACGTCAAAGGTTTGGAAGACCTTCGATGATTGTAAGGAACTTATACGAAGCTGTCAAATGTAACGGCAGTCAACTTCAAGATGACTCCAAGGCACCTACTGAGTTTTTAGATAATCTTATGACTTATAAGAATACCTTGATTTCGATGAATCGCATGAATGACCTCAACTCGAGTTTTATACTAGAAGTAATAGCAAGACGCCTACCTACTCGACTGCAAAGGAAGTGGGTGAAGATAAGCTCCCGTATGGAGGATGAGGGTATCGAGCCAAAGTTTGATGATATTCTGAAACTGGTAAATACTAGTGTCAATCAATCGATGAGCAAGTTTGCCAGTATATTGAATCTCACCCATAGAATAGAGCAGTCTGAGGGTAAAACGCAATCATTGATGACGAATAGGCCTCAGAGAGGTGGATATCGAGAAGACTCCATGATATCTAGTAATGCATATAGATCTAGTGAGTGTAACAGGTTTCGTAGTACATCGTCAACAGATAAGTTGCATGATGCAAGACAAACACGATTGTGTCTTACACGTTTGCAAGAGGTGCATACAAAGGTGAGCTGTGAACCAGTGAGCAAGTTCAGGGATAAGCTAAATGTGAAATCAACGTCTGACTCCGAATTGTGTGACGATAACGGTGCGGTCAAGAAGTCTGTAGTTGCAACTGGTAAGCCATTGTTGAATATAGTTTCACAGCACAGAGTTATTGCTTTAGAGTCCAGTTCTGACTCCACAAGTTTACAAGGTATTACTAGTCAGAGTGAAGTTATAAAGCCTTTTAAGATTTGCGAGGAGGAACCAAAATTGTCTACTTCTGTTATTAAAGAGTTTGAAATTGATGAAGTCGACCAGATAGATGATGATAAATTGAATATTCCGGATAATGATCATGATACTTCACATTTGTCTTTGGTTGATCATGATGAGATGAGAGATATGCCTACTACTGCTGAGTTGAACAAAAGTTCTGTACAACTTGAACGTGAAGTGGAAATAAATGCAGATGCAGTTGCAGAAGGCATGCATACTTGTCAGACCGTCAGTGTGAGTGATCAGCGCGTAGCCCACCTATCATTAGATGCTAGTGTTAAACCTGAGCTGATAGTAAAAGACAGCAGTGGTGGTGGTCTTGCAGGTAGACAAATTTCTGAAAGTCGAGCAACAACAGCTTCTGATCCACCGCTAACTTCATCAACTGGTATCAATCGGTCATCGTTGGTGTTGTCATCCACAATGAAACTGTCGCCCATCAACTCAAGTATCTTGTGCAATGACTATGATAGTATTGGTGCATTCGAAAGGACGAAAGATGTTGCTCTGTTTAGAGAGGATAAGCCAAGTGTAAACGAAAGAGTAATTGTTAAATTGACTTGCATGAATAAAGGCATTTCTAGTTTCAAGTTACTATTTGAATGCTATCATCTTTGGTGTAAATTACTCTGTGCCTACGCTTGGTTGACCAGATACTTCGTGTGTTTGTTCGTCATCTATGTTCTACGATACAATGACATGAGCGTGTTATCGTTCAGATTTGAGGATATAGCTGATAGAAGGAAGTCAGCAAATGAACTCTGCGATGATTTTCCAACCTAGAGCGTCAACCTGAGAAGGGTTGTAGGCGTACTGCTGTAAGTCCTACAGTTCTTCAAGGGTAGTTTTTCGTGCCAGAATCCCCATCATTTGATGTGTTGATTGTACATATGTTTGTGTTTGATAATTTTGTGAGTTCCAATTGATGTAATTGTTGGTTAATCTTGTTTGTGTCCGGATATTCCACAACTTACAATCGTCAACCTGAGAAGGGTTGTAGGTGTACTGGTGTAAGTACTGTGATTCTTCAAAGGAATTCCATCAAGACATGAACTGCGAGTTTGTGTGTACTGTTTGTATATACGTGTGGTGTGTCATATCAATTGGTGGTGTTTTGGATTCATTGTGTTTACTGGTTGTTTTTGTACCTTGTTTTTATTGCATAATTTTGTTAAAATTTTCGTCGTGATTACTTCTGAAGTTGTTTCTTGTCTTCTACATCCGTGAATGAATTGATTGATGTTAGAGACAGCAGATGGGTCGTATACGCCGGGGAGGCTAGGCTATTGCTGAGAATGAAATGCATACGGAGATAATTATTAGCTGCGGTCCCACACACCGGGGAGTAAGAGTCATCGTTACTCGAATTGAGGCAGAATGAGTGACAAGCGATTTCAGTGGTAATTAGTAGTGAGTAGATAAGAGGATGTGCGTAGAGTATCGTGAGGTGGTGCTATGGTCACGTTGCATTCTGCAAGAGTCATTCTAGCAAGTGGCGATTGTGTTGCAAGAGGATGCCTTTAACTGGAATGCGCAGGTCGTCATTGATGTGTGAGATTGTGCTGTGGGTATGCTTGTGGTGTGTTGGCTTTTCTGTTTGTTTTCCATTTCAGCTCTGTCGGTGTATCCCAGGTTCTCGCAATGGCATCCAAGTCAACGTGTATTGGTCGTGAAGGAAAAAGTGGTTGGATCCCTTTTTTGCCGGGGAGTGTCAATGTAGTTTAATATTGAACGATCAATTCATGGTTGTTTGCTCAAAACCAACTTCCCCAATTTTCGCGGAGGCATCAATACGACAGTCATCGTCTCATCGGTCGCTGTTCAGAAAGAAGTCAGCAGCAAACCGTCAGAAGTAATATTGTGATTTATTATTGTAATATTTGTTCACAGACCATAGTCATACGTCATTTATATGTTGGTGAAACAATAAAGAATCATCGAGTCAACAATTGGTGTTTTGGTTTTTCGTCCGTTATTACTAAGCGTTTCTGAGAAACTTCAAGCGACAGCGTGAGCCCGAGCGTAGCAAGAGCTGGGCATTAACGGTTTACGAATCTTGGCTAACAGACGTCTCTGTTCACCAGTTTTTAATTCTTCCCCACAAGTGTTTGTTCG